CATCTTTCCCTATTAAATTGTTGCTGAAATCTCACTCATTCTGAACGTATGGATGAACCAGCATACCAGTGCCTTATCAATGGCACTGAAATTTCTCATAAATCTATTTCTTAAAAGTGTCATAATTTCAACCCATGACCCACTAATGTGAAGAAAAATGTACAATGAACTCATTGTAATGAACTTGGAAATGGTGTTTATGAAATTCTAAAGTGTTGTCTATACCAATCACAGTCAGAATTGTTTAGAGATTATATAGATTAAAATCTGCAGTATGAATTTATACAGAATGAAAATGAATGGTCAGGAAACATCAATGATTCTTAGAAAAAAAACTCTTCACTGATTGCTTGCAATTTTACACAGCTTAGCTTTATTTATAAATAGATATTTTATACCCATATATATAAATTGTGTCTTCACACTTAAAGTTAGAATCTGGTTTCCTCCCTGATGGCTAGTGATGATGAACATTTTTTCATGTGTCTGATAGCCATTTGTATGTCTTCATTGGAGAAGTGTCTGTTCATATCTTCTGCCCATTTTTTGATATGATTGTCTGTTTTGTGTGTGTTGAGTTTGAGGAGTTCTTTATAGATCCTGGATATCAATCTTTTGTCTGTACTGTCATTTGCAAATATCTTCTCCCATTCCGTGGGTTGCCTCTTTGTTTTCTTGACTGTTTCCTTTGCTGTGCAGAAGCTTTTGATTTTGATGAAGTCCCAAAAGTTTATTTTGGCTTTTGTTTCCTTTTGCCTTTGGAGACATATCTTGAAAGAAGTTGCTGTGGCTGATATCGAAGAGGTTACTGCCTATGTTCTCCTCTAGGTTTCTGATGGATTCCTGTCTCATGTTGAGGTCTTTTATCCATTTTGAGTTTATCTTTGTGTACGGTGTAAGAGAATGGTCGAGTTTCATTCTTCTACATATAGCTGTCCAGTTTTCCCAGCACCATTTATTGAAGAGACTGTCTTTTTTCCACTGTATATTTTTTCCTGTTTTGTCGAAGATTAACTGACCATAGAGTTGAGGGTCCATATCTGGGCTCTCTACTCTGTTCCACTGGTCTATGTGTCTGTTTTTATGCCAGTACCATGCTGTCTTGGTGATCACAGCTTTGTAGTAAAGCTTGAAATCAGGTAACGTGATGCCCCCAGTTTTATTTTTGTTTTTCAACATTTCCTTAGCGATTCGGGGTCTCTTCTGGTTCCATACAAATTTTTGGATTATTTGCTCCAGCTCTTTGAAGAATACTGGTGGAATTTTGATTGGAATGGCATTAAAAGTATAGATTGCTCTAGGCAGTATAGACATTGAGATATCACCTTACACCAGTTAGAATGGCCAAAATTAGCAAGACAGGAAACAACATATGTTGGAGGGGATGTGGAGAAAGGGGAACCCTCTTACACTGTTGGTGGGAATGCAAGTTGGTGCAGCCTCTTTGGAGAACAGTGTGGAGATTCCTCAAGAAATTAAAAATAGAGCTTCCCTATGACCCTGCAATTGCACTACTGGGTATTTACCCCAAAGATACAGATGGAGTGAAAAGAAGGGCCATCTGTACCCCAATGTTTATAGCAGCAATGGCCACGGTCACCAAACTGTGGAAAGAACCAAGATGCCCTTCAACGGACGAATGGATAAGGAAGATGTGGTCCATATACACTATGGAGTATTATGCCTCCATCAGAAAGGATGAATACCCAACTTTTGTAGCAAGATGGACGGGACTGGAAGAGATTATGCTGAGTGAAATAAGTCAAGCAGAGAGAGTCAATTATCATATGGTTTCACTTATTTGTGGAGCATAACAAATAGCATGGAGGACATGGGGAGTTAGGAGAAGGCAGTTGGGGGAATTTGGAAGGGGAGGTGAACAATGAGAGACTATGGACTCTGAAAAACAATCTGAAGGGTTTGAAGAGGTGGGGGGGTGGGAGGTTGGGGGAACCAGGTGGTGGGTATTAGAGAGGGCACGGATTGCATGGAGCATTGGGTGTGGTACAAAAACAATGAATACTGTTATGTTGAAAATAAATTTTAAAAAATGATTAAAAAAAAATAAAATAAAATAATCTGGTTTCCTGGTATCACTAATTAGATTGAGATGCCATTGTTTCTATCTAAAACCTGAAGACAGGAATCCAATTAGAAAAGGATGTTGTGTCCTCACAGCAAGGTATGTGAAATGGAGGTGAATGTGACCAGGTGGAAAGAACTGCGTGGCATGTGTGTGGCCTCCAGGGTCAGGGATCAGCCATCTTGAATTTTCCTCTTCTATAGTTTTGGTCTTTAAGGATTTACACTGTACTGGGATCCAAATAAAAGTGTTTGTCTAATGAGGAGCTTTGGATATTAAACCCTCAGGGATGCAGAAATTGCGAAGAGTCTGTCTATGACCGCCTGACTTAGCAGCCCTGCCCAGTCAGGAAGAAACATCTGGGCCACCTCCCAGCAACGATCGCACCTGCAGAAACATATCTTCTCTCAGCCCCTCTGCCCTTCTCAGAGATAGAGCTTCTGTCTCCATCATTCACTATCCAGGGAAGATATCAAGTATCATCCTGCAATGATGCCAGCCAGGTAACAGAAAGTCCCTTAGACAATACTGTGGACATGAGGGAAGGTGTCTACTGGAGTTGCTTCCCTGCACAGACACGATACAAATCCATGCCTAAGACGATCAGTACTAACTCCCCAATGGGACTCCTGCCTGAATGTCATCATCTTGACAGGTTACTTTGTACCTCCACAACAATGCTGATGCAGCTCTGATTTTGTTAGTTTTCTATTCTGTCTATTTAATGGCAGAAACCATTTTGCTCTTGAATCCTCCCCTTCATAAACATGGTAACAATTATAGAGTTCTTTGACATTTGCTTGCATCTTTTCATGATGGAAGGGAGAGAGATTAATTAGCTTCATTTGATTCATTTGAATCCCCCATACATTGTACAAAAGAGCTTTTGGTATTATCTTTATAGCTTGGGTGTAAAGACTTCAAGAAGAAGTGTAGACCCAGACACACAGAGCAGGCTACCTTCTTCATCTACTTGTTCCTCTTTATAAAAGTACCACATGTTTTAAATTATAAGAACAGCATAGATATTGTAATAATAAAAATGTTACCATTAACCCCTTTCCAGAACTAGCAAATGTTGACATTCTAGTGTATCATCTCATGCCTATTTTTTAATTAACAAAATAATATAAATACAGAAGGCACTTTTTTTTGTTCCTCATAGTTCTACTCAGAAGCAACATCAATATAATGTTATCCCCCAAGCATATGTTCATACTGTGTACATATATGTATATAATGTGTGTATATATTTATGGTATTTTATATGAAAAATTTTATCTCTTGTTGGTTTTCATTGCTTATATTGATTCATAGATCTATTTTATTCTAATATTTAATTTATTATAATTGCTTTATGTTCACACCAAATAAATATTGATATATTGATATTTCCTTCCTTTCCCTTGCACATGACCAAGATTGCTAGAGGGAGTTTTGGCACAGAAACCCAACCCTGAAATTTGCAATTATCACACCAAGGATGTTCTCTTACTTTCTTCTTTCCTCAACTTGTACCAACCCACCAGTTCTACTTAGAAGTAAAACATGCCAGATGCTATTGTTCATGGCAGAAAAAAATCACAGTAAGAAATGACACTATGAGGGTCTCATAAGCTGAGCACTGTGCTGACTGATTTAAGCCTATTCACTTTCCTCATTGCAACAATCCCATATATACACAAGAACACTGGGATTCTGATAAAGTTAAAAACATTTCTCTTTTCACAAAGCAAGTACTGGAGCCTGGATTAAATTCAGAGTATCTAAGTATTGTAACAAGTGACTGATCCTCTGTTGGCCACTTGTGTCCCTCAGGAAAGACACAACCACTGTTGCACAGGGACGTGCCTCTTAGGATGCCTGGTGCTAATGTCAGCTTATGAGTCTCTATCTCCCAAAGACAAATTATTATTATTTTTTATTCATCTTTTCAGGATCCTTTGCATTTTATCCTTTCCCCCATTCACCTGGGGATTTTTGTTGTTGTTTGTGATCCTGTGTCATCTGTTGCATTAGGGGAAGATCAGACGAATTCTGTAATTTTATTCTTTTGTTTAAAAGATTTTATTTATTTGAAACAGAAAGTGAGAGAGAGAGCACAAGCAGGGGAGGAGCAGGCAGAGGGAGAGGGAGAAGCAGGCTCCCCACTGAGCAAGGAGCATGACACAGGGCTCAATCCCAGGACTCTGGGATCATGACCTGAGCTGAAGGCAGACCCTTAACCAATGGAGCCACCCAGGTGCCCCTATAATTTTATTCTTACATGTTTGATTTTTTGAAGGTGTGGAATAATTCTAAAGAAATAAAGCCATGTTTTCTTTTTTCAATCTCAAAACTTGATACATGTTAGACACTCATTGCTCATTATAATTTTGGCTGTTGGGCATCTGGGTGGTTCAAAAGTTCAAAAGCAACTGCCTTTGGCTCAGTTCATGATCTCAGGGTCCTGGGACTGAGCCCCCTGTGGGGCCCCCTGCTCAGCAGGGAGTCTGCTTCTCCCTCTCCCTCTGCCCCCCTCCCTGTTCACGCTCTGTCACTTTCTCTCTCACACTCTCAAATCAATAAATCAAATCTTTTTAAAAATTTGGCTGATAAACTGTGCAGAGGAAAGAGGATGAGGGAGAGAAGAAGGACGGAGGAAGAAATACACAGAGGAAAGATTTGAATATTCACTTGGGTTCACAATATAGATAACCATTTTTTGAGAACAGAAGTTCTGAGATTTTATCATATATCAGAATCATCTGGAAAGCTTGTTAAAGCATACTGCCTGTCATCATCCCTAGAGCTTTTCATCAGTAAGTCTGGAGTGGGATTCAAAAATTGGCATTTTTAACAAGTTCCCAGGTACTGCTGCTGGAGGTCCAGTTGACCATCCATTTTATTCTCTTGTCACCCAATGTCTTATATTAACAACATGGAACCCAGAAACCAAACAGATGTATCAGAATTTCTTCTTCTGGGAGTGACGGAGGATCCAGAATTGCAGCCCCTCCTCTTCTGCCTGTTCCTGTCCATGTACCTGGTCACCATCCTGGGAAATCTGCTCGTCATCCTGGCTGTCATCTCTGACTCCCACCTCCACACCCCCATGTACTTCTTCCTCTCCAACCTGTCCTTTACTGACATCTGCTTAAGCACAACCACCATCCCAAAGATGCTGGTGAACATCCGGGCACAGATTCAGAGCATCACCTACACAGGCTGCATCACCCAGGTCTGTTTTGTCTTGGTTTTCCTTGGTTTTGAGAATTTTCTCCTTGCAGTAATGGCCTATGACCGCTATGTTGCCATTTGTCATCCACTGAGGTATACCGTTATCATGAACCCCCACCTCTGTGGATGGTTAGTTCTACTCTCTTTGTACATTAGCATCATGGATGCCCTCCTCCACAGTCTGATGGTGTTACAACTGTCCTTCTGCACTGACTTGGAAATCCCCCAGTTTTTCTGTGAACTCGCACAGGTCATCAAGCTCGCCTGTTCTGATTCCTTCATCAATACCATCTTGGCTAATTTTATGGCTAGTGTGTTGAGTGGTATTTCTATCTTTGGGATCATTTTCTCGTATGCTAAAATTCTCTACTCTCTTTTGAGAATGCCATCAGCTGGCAGAAGATATAAAGCCTTTTCTACCTGTGGGTCTCATCTCTTAGTTGTTTCCTTGTTCTATGGGACAGGATTAGGGGTGTACATTAGCTCTGCAGTTACTGACTCTTCCAGAAACACTGCGGTGGCCTCAGTGATGTACACTGTGGTTCCCCAATTGATGAACCCCTTTACCTACAGTCTGCGCAACAGGGATATGAAGGAAGCCTTGAAAAAAATAATCAGGTAGGATAACGTTTCATCATATTTGGGCTAATTTTATAGAATGAGTGAAAGTAAAAGGTATTCTGGTCTTTCAGAATACTCTTCTATCACCAAGATCATCTGAAATGACTAGATAACATGATGGATACATGCATTTCAACACGGGCTTGAATTCTGATTTTGCTTTTTGTCTCACTCTGTGATGTTTGGCAGTGATTTCAAGCATCTAAACTCAGTTTTTGGGTAGTGTTCTATAGAGGGAGAACCTGAATCCTAGAATCCTGTTATATAGATTTGGGGGGACAGCATGTTCACAAAAAAGTGGAAGAAGTTAGACAGGGCAGAGAAATGGTGTAAGCAGAGTCATGGTTATAGGCAGACTAGCTTCCACTTTATCCCACATCTAGGACCATGAAAATCTCACCCCAGATGGGCTTAAACAATGAGGCAAGGGAGCTGGCCTTTCTTACCCACATTCAGTAATCACTGAGAGTTGTCCCTATCAAACTGTATTTCTCTGGAGCAACATCAGAAGCCACCAAACTGTTTCATCATCCATAGAATCAGTATAATCTGATTATCTCAGTGGTTTGAGACAGTTGTAAAATATGTAAACCTGAAGCTAAAAGTCTTTGGTTCTAATAATAAAAAGAAAACCTTTGGGGGTGCCTGGTGTCTCAGGGATGAAGCATCTGACTCTTGCTCTCAGTTCAGGTCTTGATCTTAGGGTCCTGAGTTCAAGCCTTGTGTTGGGCTCCACACTGGGTATGGAGCCTACTTTTAAAAAAAGAAGAAGAAGAAAAAGAAAAGAAAACTTTTCTCTAATATTCTCAAACAAGAAAGGGAAGTATCTTTCATTCAGAGGTAAGGAATGTATATGGATAAGAGAATAGAGATTCATTAGTTCTCTGTGAGGTGATGTCATTCCAGGACTGATGGTAGCAGCAGACACAGTGTCATACTCAGTTGTGATGCCCAGGGACAGAAAACGGACTGTCTTTCCCTGGGCCATTTGAAAATTGACCTTTCCATGGCATCATCCAGAAGATATCCCCTTAAATCTCACCACAAAGAAGAGGATCATATGCTCCTTTTTAATAAAATTACTGGTGTGGGAGAAATGATTAATATGAAAGCCTTAGACTGACCATCTAGGCTTAATTCATGTTGGGCAGTCAGCTGTCATAACCATGACAAGCACTTAATACAACACCTGACATACAGTAGGAATTAACATTTAACTCGTATCATAGTTTTTCATATCTTGCCTATATTCATAACTTGTATAATCCTTTTGAACTCACATATTTTTACCACCTGCTTCAACATTCATATTTGTTTGTTTTTACTGTAGTTTTTCTGGTCTGAATAATATAATCAAATGATTGAGTAGGCAGGGTAATGAATGTTGATCATTTTTATGAGACCCTGTTTGCCTTAATTCCTTCTCCTTGATCCACTGGTAAGAATGTAGCTTAAAAAAAAACGACAATGTATCTGAGTTTTTATTTATTTTAATTACTTCTCCTTGCAGTACTTCTTACTCATCTCAGGTGGAGTCCACACAGAGAAACAAGGTTGAGTAAAACTGATGGAATGATTAAAGTCTTAAAAGAGTTGGCTGCATAATTAGGGCTCCTATACAAAATTTATAATGTGTTATTGTGAATAAAACAGTGTTTCTGTGGAGGAGTGTAACATGACAGGAGAAAAAAGAAGTTGGTAGTGTTGGGGACTATCACTTTTTCCACAAGTACAACAATGTGGGGCTATCAGACAGAAGTATTTTTCTTTTTTTTTTTTAAAGATTTTATTTACTTGAGAGAGAGGGGAAAAGAGAGAGCATGAGTGGCAAGAGCAGCAGAGGGAGAGGGAGCAGCAGACTCCCTGCTGAGCCAGGAGCCCAACGTGGGGCCCCATCCCAGTGCTCCCAGATCATGACCTGAACTGAAGGCAGATGCTTAACCAACTGAGCCACCCAGGCACCCCCCAGAAGTCTTTCTGGATGTGTGTATAGAGGAAAATGACAGAGGTCTCCCAGGATAACCAAAGGAGCACAATTCATTGTAAGGAGAGGAAGTAGGATGTCAGCACCACAACTGGGGGACAGCTCTCTGCCTGCTGCCCTGGTGTGTTCTAGTGCAGGACTTCCCCCATTGACATCCACAGAACACCTGTAGAGATGGATCACCTGCTTACAGAAAACATTATAAGCAGTGGAGCACAAAATATGAAATTTTAGAAGTCCACCACCACCAGGGTCGTGCATCACTTAAAGGCACTCAGGTGGGGAAGGAGTGTGGAGGCTCAAGCATGGACAGCATGGTCAGAGGATCCTCTGGGTCACAAGAAGAGTGGGTGGCACCTACATGCTGCACTGTTCCCAGGCAGAGGAGCAAGGACTCCAGCTGAGGGCAGCAAGCCTAGGTGTCAGCTCTCTGCTCTGCCTTGCCATAAACTCAACCGCTGCCCAGTTGTGCAACTGCTTGCCTGTCATGGGCTGGCAAACAGCAAAAATGTGCAAGACCCTCCCTCAGAGGATCAGCATGGGTACATGTCATGAGAGTCCCTAAAATTTGGAGTTTTAAAACTCAACCACACACCTGAGATAAAACAGCTGGAATACAGGCAGGATGAAGACAGGTATCTTACTAAGTCAGGGACACAAAACTGATTGACTGCTTTTCTGTGAGGGCTTCCTGAAGAGTGGGGGGCGCAAACTCTCAGTTCTGCAGCTAGCGAGCAGGGCACAGCCATTTTCATCCAGCATTATTAGTGCTGAAAGCCTTCAGCCCTTCAAAACTGTGCCACCTAGTGGAGCCCAGAGCCACTTACACCAAGCCCCATCCACTAGGTGGGGAGGCGCTTCTCCACGAGGGCAAGTCCACCTGAGAATCAGAGCCACATGTCCCTTCCCAGAAGACCAGCACAAACACCTCACATACACCAGTCTACTGATCACAGAGGCTGCAAAGCTCCAGTTCTATGGGAAATAGGATCTATCTTCCTTCTTACTTTAATTTTAAAATTTTTATTACTATTCTTTTGTCCCTCTCTCTCTCTTTCCTTTTCTTCTGGGATCCCAATTATTCTGACATTGTTTCTCTTTATGGGATCATTTATCTCCTGAATTCTCCCCCTTGTGATCCCATAGTTGTTTATCTCTTTTCTCTCAGCCTCTTTATTCTCCATCATTTTGTCCTCCCTATCACTAATTCTCTCTTCTACCTCATTTATCCAGCATTTAGAGCCTCCATTTTTATTGCATCTCATTAATAGCCATTTTTGTTTTGATTTGATTTGATTTTAGTTCTTTTATTTCTCCAGAAAGGGATTCTCTAGTGTTTTCCATGCTTTTTTTCAAGCCCAGCTAGTACCTTTATAATCATTATTCTGAACTCCAGTTTCAACATTTTACTTATGCCCATACTGATTAGGTCCCTGGAAGTCAGTATTTCCTCTTATTCTTTTTTTGAGGTGAATTTTTGCATCCTGTCATTCTGTCCAGAGAAGAATAGATGAAAAAGAGAATAAAAGAATAAAATGTCAACAACGACCCCAAAGAAATATACACTAAACAAATCAGAAGAGACCTGAAACAAAAAAATAAATAAATAAACTAAAAATAAAAGGAAAAAAAAGAGAGAATATAATCAGGGGGACAGAATAGAGCAATACACTGGATCCTGTGTGTATTTGGTCTCTTTGTTAAAAAAGTAGATCCTGAAATTTCAAAGAAAGAAAAACTTCTGTATGTACAAAAATAAAATTAAATACAATGAAAGGATAGAAGGTAACCAAAAAAAGGAAAATTAAAAGACAAGAAAAAACAAAAGAGAAAAAAAAAACAACAAAAAAAGGAAGGGATATAAACAGACAGGTGAACAGAGCAATACACTATATCCTGAGTGTATTGTGGTGGGTTTTTTAGAAGAAACTATATCTCAAAATTATACGCACACACACACACACACACACACACACACACACATAAAATTAAATACAATGAGGGGAGAGAATGTAACTGTAAAAATGAAAATCTAAAAAGATTTATAAAGAGAGTTCATAAACTAACAAATTGGTTGAAAAAGGAAAGAGAAAAAAACTGAAAGACTAAAGAATCATGGGAGAAAAAAACATGAATTCTATATGTATAGTCCCCTAGCACTGGAGTTTTGCAATTTTTTTTTATTATGTTCAGTTAGCCACTGTATAGTACATCACTTGTTTCTGATGTAGTGTTCAGTGACTCATTAGTTATATATAACACCCAGTGCTCATCACAGCACCTGCCCTCCTTAATACCCATCACCCTGTCACCCTCACCCCCACACATCTCCCCTCTAAAACTGGAGTTTTGCAATTCTTATTGATCAGTAAACTTGATCTTGGCTGGATGTTCTTGCTGATCTTCTGTAGGACCTGCTACTTTGATTCTCAAGTGTATTTGCCCTGGGCAGAACTGCACCACCCGTGCTAGGAGGCCACGTTAAGTATTCAACTCTGGTTTGCTGGTTTGCTCTAGGTGGCTTTTGTTCCTGAAGGCTTTCCATGAGGCTTTAGAGGATGAGAATGAAAATGGCAGGCTCTTGGTCTGTGGACCTGGAGCCCAAAGCTCAGGGACCCACTGCTCAGTGAGCCCTCGTGGAAAAGCAGTCACTCTCTCCCGTCTCCCTGGTCTCTATCAGCACTCCGTGTTCACCCAGCCTGTGAATGAGCACTTCTATCTCAGACACATGACCCCCTTCAAGTCTCCAAACCCTGCCGACTCCTGTGGCATGCTCCTGTGTCACTCCTCCCTGTGGAAGAAGTGGGTTCTTGCTGGTTCTGACGCTTGCTGGGCCTCTGCTCACAGAGCAGTCACCCAAATGCCTCGGTTTGTGATTTATGGGAACCCGGAGCTGAGAGCCCACTCCTGGGCTTGCTGATTACAGCCAACTTTCCTGCTCTGATGCCTGGGAACTCTGTTGCACTCAGGCACCCCTGGTCTTCCTGAGACCCCAAGGATCCTGAAACCACACTGTC